GAATTGTAACTTGCATTTTTTTATTTACCAGGAGGTGAATGGCTTACACCTCCTGAACGCAAATAGCCTATAATATCACTTTACTAGAAATTATTTTACAACCACATATTCCCTAAATTACAACTTTTAAAAATGGTATTTATGTATGGACCTTTTTGTTGTTATTATTATTTTAATTTTTTTTAAAACAGTTATTCCCTTTTCTCAGTTTTATAATGTGTTTCGAAAGACTTTACCTCTGTAAATAAAGGGTGTTCTGCCAAAGAAATATATAATGTGCATTGTGTTTAAAAACAAAAAACTAACCTACATTTAGAAGTGGGCTACGTATTTAGATATTTTTTTCATAAATTTAAAGAACCGCTTTCGATTATGCGTAATGTTTGCATGTTTATGTCGTTGTTTAACCTTTTTTTTTTTTGGCTCTCAAACACTAACATTTAATGATACACACAAAATAAGCTCAATACTCATGTTTGATGGTTGCAGTTTGTATGACATTAAATAGGTCTATAATCCCTTTCATAAATTGCAAACAATATAAAAAGACACCTCTCGAAAACAGTTATGTTTTTTATTTATATATATATATATAAATTGCAACTATGATGTTTTAAATATTTGTAAATTTTCATATATTGATGTTCATTTAAATGTGCATCATTTTAAGATTTTGTGGTGGCCTATTGGGAGCTTATACCTACAATTGTGTGCATACATTTTTGCATTAATGTTTGTCATGAATTGTCAGTTGTAAATATTGTGAACTAATCTCAGATATTTGTGTTGTGCATATTATAATAATCACGTCCACTATAAGAACAAAATACACTAAACGACACAGAAAAGTTCGTGTAAAATGAAAGGGAGTCTGTTTGAGATATTGGAGAAATATTTTAGTTTTTTATTAAATGCCAATAAAATGAAAGCGAGTCTGTTTGTGACATTAGTAAAATGTTTAAACCAATTAGTTAATGATTCAGTAGCCTATTACTAAGTGTTAATTTTTAGCTCCAGCACATTTACGATGAATGTTCGCTCACTCACCTCTAACCAGAATCCTTCGGCAATAGTCCGGATCGACTCCTAAAAGTTTATCGTGTCCATCTTCGCTAGATGAAGTCGGTGTGGACGCCGAAGTCCCCGGTGTGTCGGTAGAACTCTGCACAGGTGACCGGTTCCGAACTTCCGTCCGGCTTTTGGAGTCTCTGCCGCGGTCACGGCACAACGAATTGGATTCACGGTGGTTTCGGTCTTCGGCGATTCCATCGCCCATACTCGTGGCTTGATCAAACATCTAATAATGTAACTGTTTTGTGTGTGCACTTAGTTTTCTTGAGCTGTCAGAAGCTTGAATAAATAGTCAGCGTAATTCTTTTCTGTCAGAAATAGGGAGATTATTCCCAGCAAAACATCAAATTAGAATCCAGGCGCAGACTCCAGCGACCGAGTTTCTGCCCAAGTATTTTAGCATGTTCCGGCATCGGGCGTCCATGCAGGAGGAGATGTATAAAGAAGGGAAGGAAGGTTGAGGTGGAGGGGGCCCTGTGGGCAAGTGGAAGGACCCTCCTCAGCTATAGGATCGCGCTCAACCCAAAATGCGTTTAGCATAAATGCGCTGGGTTTCAAGGTCTATGACCGAGGCACTGGGAGGCGCTTCACTGCGTAACCACGTATAAGTAATTCCACACAACCAACATGGATCCGAGCAGCGCAAACTTTCCCTTGTATAGTCGATTTACTCGTTGTCTACACTGGGTGTGTTTTTGTATCTGCCCTGGGCTCTACAGAAGCTCTGGAGAAAGAGCCAACGGATTTCAGGATTTCTTCGGGAGGAGGGGGAGGTCATGTTTTACGCGGGACCAATTCAAGAGTATCCTATAACAGACAATAAAATATAAATGTGTGGGCATAATGTGGGTGTGATTAGAATATAATTTCCAGAGTAGAGTATGTATTTGTTACGTTGACTGACAGCAGCGACGTCACTTCCGGACTGTAATCCATCAATCCATTGGTAAACAGAAACGAGTAAAAGCACGAGGTGGTTTCAACGCCCTTTAGCGTTCAGCGAAGTAAACGATGCCCGTTGTCTTTAGACGTTGTATTTGTTGCGCTCGGTAAGTGGTATTACAGTTAGGCTATATGTCACCTTTTTAGCCTATATCACAGAAACCGCGTTTAGTTTCTTAAGTTGCGCTTTCGTAATAACGGCCAAGGCGAATGTGAACGGATGCGTTGTGATTAAAAAGTAAGCGCCCAAAACTATTAAAACACCGATTATTTTATGGTTTTAAAAGTATTTTAACTAAATCTAAAAGTAGAGGAAACAACTAGGGGTGTAGGCTATGTTTATTTTGCAGAGATAAGCGTAGATGAATAAACTATTATAATTATAATAATTAATATATGTTACTATAATCGCTTTCAAACTAAACACAATGTTAAGAAAAATATTTTAATATCATGACGTGTGCCCATAAATAGTACGCCAAATAAAAACGAAAACTGGTGGTATTGATATGCAAAAATGGACTTTGGCGTGTATATGCTACGCGATGGGGAGGTTTAGGGTTGTGGGGTAGATGCGTATCATATGCACGCGAAAAATGCGTATTATATGCACGCCAACAAATTTCGTATCATATGCACGCGAAAAATGCGTATTATATGCACGCCAACAAATTTCGTATCATATGCACGCGAAAAATGCGTATTATATGCACGCCAACAAATTTCGTATCATATGCACGCGAAAAATGCGTATTATATGCACGCCAACAAATTTCGTATCATATGCACGCGAAAAATGCGTATTATATGCACGCCAACAAATTTCGTATCATATGCACGCGAAAAATGCGTATTATATGCACGCCAACAAATTTCGTATCATATGCACGCGAAAAATGCGTATTATATGCACGCTAAAGTCCATTTTTGCGTATCAATACCACGAGTTTTCGTTTTAATTTGGCGTACTATTTATACGCATTTTCATGAGACCGGGCTCATTTCCCCTATTGCTTTGACACCGTTGTTTAATACCTTAAGTTTTTTAGACTCCGTATTGACAAATGCTCAGCCAACTTCAGCACAACCTTTGAATTTGCTTCCACAGTTGTTAGATGGGAAAGGGGTTCGGTTTGTAAGATGTAGGCTATTGTACACATTCTGTGCGTTATTGTGTAAATATGAACAAGAGGTTTATTTGTGTTTACCTCACGGTGCACGAACCGCAGGTGTTCATCTCATCATTGAACCGCTGCCATAATACACAGCAACAAAATGAGAATCTTTTATCTGAGTGCGCAATCCCATTACGGAGGCCGCAATGACATAATTGCAGTTTTGCCACTTTCAGCAGTGTTTATCATTCAGTGCCGAAATGGCTCATTATTGAATTCAGCTGCTCAGCACAGATTAAACCGTGAACGGGATGAATGGAGCTGTCAGTCACTTCCTCAAACCAACAGTACAGTCAAGAGAGGTTTAATTGCCTCCACTGCTCTCTGGCCCCACAGTCTCACACACAGGGCCCTTTCCTCCAACACACAAATATTGCAAAACAGCAGATAGCCTATACCATAAACACAGATAAATGCACAAACGGACCCTTCCCCCTCGGTTTTTAGCCGACTAATCCCAGAACATCACGTAAATCAAAAAATAAATTCAGATTTAATTTGAACAAATGTTCAGTTACACATATAGTAGCCTATGTTTTTACTGTAGCCGATAACTGTCATGAAGACAGAATATAGTCTAGTAGCCTATCATATTTTTGTAATAGGTGTTAAACAACAAAATTAACCAAAACGTTGAACTGAGTTCTTGAGTGTACAGCTAAAAGTTTATTAATGTGTTTATTCATTTACTTATTAACAGTCAATGTTTTAAGATTTGTATCTACAGAAATGGACTTTCAAAAATAAAATCACCAGTGTAAAAAGTGGAACTAGCCCTGGTCTCCCGTTCTAGCTTCTAATACAAGTTCTGAAAAGTTAGTTGGATATTTTACAAGACATGTTTTGTCAAGTAAAATCAAATGAGGCTTATATGATTCAAGTCATAAATATCGTTTAACCTGGGTACATTAAGTTACAGTGCATCTCATTTCTTTTTTAGGGTCAAATCAAGACGTAACAGTAGTTCTTATAAGAACTATACACTCGTAAAAATAAAGGTGCTTCGTGATGCCGTAGAGAAGAACCTTTTTGTCTAAATGGTTCCATAAAGAACCTTTAACATCTGAAGAACCTTTCTGTTTCACAAAAGCTTCTTTGTGGCGAAAGAAGGTTCTTCAGATTATAAAAAGGTAAGAAAGAGATGGTTCTTTGTGGAACCAAAAATGGTTCTTCTATGGCATCGCTTGAAGAACCTTTTGAAGCACCTTTATTTTAAAGAGTGTAGTTCTTCATTCTGATAGACTGCAAAGAAATATTCGTGTCTCAATATTGTTCAATTACAATTTTCTTGTTCAATTAGTCTTATTAGTTAATGAGACCATATAAGCAACCGTGAACGTTATTTAAAACTTTGATCTTCCAAGTGAACAAAATACAGCTACGAAAACTTTTAACCCGGAACGACAAATCAAATAGAAAACGTTACATTAAAACACGGAAAATGCCATAAACTCGCAACAATTTAAAACTAGACGAACGTATGAAAAACAGAAATGAACGTATTTTATCGAAATAATTGGCTTCGTAAAAATGTAGGCCAAGTTGCTAATATTTCACAATCACATGTAATACACAAACACACTATTAAAGTAAGTTACAAACCCAAAGAATTATATAATAAAAAACAATATCGATGCGAGTTTTCATCAATTACCAATACAGCAACCAGAAGTCCAACCCTATATATTCCTGAAACTGTGAATAGGTTGATTATTTTAGCGTGCACTGACCACTAGTGGCTGTTCAGTGCATTGATTTACAATTGCTTTACGACACACAAATTACTATAAAAAGCATTTTGAAACAAGAAGTGAATTTTATTTGCTTGAAAGTAAAAAAAAAAAATACAGTAAAAGACAGAAACAAGCCGTCAACCGTTAAACCCATCAAGAAATTATTTTGAATTTCCGTTTGAAAGGACATGAACTTTTACAGAGATCCAGAGACCTCATAAAAGCAGTATATGGAGTTGAGAATAGACATACTATGCTGGAATAAGGCTGCCAACATTCAATGTGTAATGGCTCGATTTACATGCTGGCATCAATCAAATAAACTAACAATGTACATGATTTCAGGCACTTTGGCTCCACAAAACAGACCAATGTTACACACAAAAGATGAACGAACAGCCCTTAAAGTGATGATCTCATTAAAAATCTACCAGGGCAGACAAAATCTCCAACATTTCCTGGATCTAAATGATTTTGAGTAAATTACTATCGAATTCAGTAGATGAATCAAAACATTCAAACTTTAAAGCCAAGATGCCAACAGAGTTCATGGTGAAACATGTAAGATTGATTTTGTGGTCAGCAGTGCCTCATACTGGTACAAATACAAGAGGCTGATTCACAGTGAGCACAAGCATCACTCATAGAATTAGTTTAAAAACCTTAGAATCACATCAGATTGGAGCAAGAAAGTGCAGAAACACAGACATAAGAGCATATTATATTTGTTTTTATCTAAAAGAAACATTCAGTCATAACACTGGAATTCAGGAAACACACACTATTTGATTTGTCGTTTTTCAGGTTTGGATAAAAAACAACAATCACAGAGAGCTACAGCAAACGACAGATCATTCCTGCATTCCATTGTAACAGTACAAACAAGCTAGTAACCACACTTTGTTTCCAAACGCTGCGAGCAGAAAGCAGTGACACTGACAACAGAAATCCAGAATATTCTGTGGCTGCCGACACGAGATATGTGGCACTGAGTGGGAAGTCTGTGAGGTTCAGGCGTTCAGTCGAAGCCTTGCCAGTCGCTTTGCTCCGAGTCGTACTCGAGTTCTGCTCCTATGCAGCGCACGCCTTCCAGCAGCATCGGAGTCCCGTGATGCCGGTCTGACAGAGGAGAAGTTAAGCAAGTTACAAGTCAAACTCTATATGGACAGCATCATCAGTGCACAGGACACGCTGTTTTAAAGGAATAGTTCATCCAAAAATGACAATTTGCTGAAAATGTACTCGCCCTCAGGCAATCCAAGATGACTTTGTTTCTTCCTCAGAACAGATTTGGAGAAATTTTGCATTACATCACTTGCTCAGCAATGGATGCTCTGCGGTGAATGGGTGCCGTCAGATTGAGAGTCCAAACAGCTGATAAAAACATCACAATAATCCACAAGTAATCCACACCAGTCCAGTCCATCAGTTAATGTCTTGAGAAGCGAAAAGCTTCATGTTTGCAAGCATGTGTATTTTATTCACATCTTATTTTTATTATCTGTGTGTTGTTGTTGTCTCCGTGTACTGGAAGCTTGTGACACTATAACAAATTCCTTGTATGTGCAAACATACTTGGCAATAAAGCTCTTTCTGATTCTGATTCTGAAACAAATTATTAAGGCGTTTTTAACATTAAACCATCACCTCTAGCCAAAATCCATAATAACACTTCCTCCAGTAAAAAAAGTTCATCCCCTGTAGTCAAAATCCACACACATATTTGTTTAGAACTGCTTTCATATGTAAACGATGCTTGATCAGTTCATATTTCACACCTGATTCAGACAAGATTACTTTTTCAATATAGAAAGCAATATTATACATAGAGGACTCGTATTTTAGCCAGAAGCAATTGTTAAAAGTTAAAAGCATCTTAATGATGGATTTTGTTCTTACATGCAGCTATTCATTTAAAATGATACAGACTTTAATCTGTGGACTGGAGTGGTGTGGATTACTTGTGTATTACTGTGATGTTTTTATCAGCTGTTTGGACTCTCATTCTGACGGCACCCATTCACTGCAGAGCATCCATTGCTGAGCAATTGATGTAATGCTACATTTCTCCAAATCTGATGAAGAAACTAATTAATCTACATCTTGGATGGCCTGAGAGTGAGTAAATTTTCAGCACATTTTCATGTTTGGGTAAACTATTCTTTTAACTTTTAAAATGCCATGATCGGGACAAGATAGTTTGACAGCATCTGTTACATAGTGACAAAATATTGTCTCTGTTCTTCCTTTTCTTTAAAAATGGCAAAACTCTGGGTTACAGTGAGATGCTTACAGTGGAACTGAAAAGAAATAAGGGACAAGTTGAAGTTATTTTTGTGGGGATGGGCATTATACCACATGCTGCAGATGAGTTTACCTGAAATATTCCTTTAATAAAAACACCAGTAGAGGGCAGCAAATAACCTGACATCTGATCTCCTTCATTCAGCATATGCCTTTAACATCGCCCCAAATTGTCTCAACAACTGTAACTCAAAGAAACTGCCCGGAAAATAATATGCTGTCACTTACCCATGACACGAGCATGAACTTTAACCTTCACGCGTGCATCCTCTTTGTTTTCGCTAAGAATCTGTGCCTCCTCACACATCACTCCCTCCTGATGGGCCATATATTCACATGTCACCCTCAGACCTCCTGAAGACACAGAGTCAACAACAAAATGTCATTTATACAATCATCTACAGATCCATCTACAGCCATTGTGCAAAAAAGAAGTCTTTATCAAACAGACAGAACGTTTGTTTAGCTGTAGGTCACACCAGTTTAAGAATGGACTCACACTCATGAGTTCAGATAGACGTGTGGGCTATCCACTCATGGGCACATCTCCTGTTTGATACCTTTATTTATCCTTTCCTGAGTACATGCACGCAATCTATCACGGCAATGGAAAATGCCGTAAAGCTACTGTGAGCTATGTCACAAGTGGCATTATAAATCGCAAACGGGTATAGCCCAGTCTCCAAACTAACGCTACTGAGCCAGAAGTTGATATATTGGGAGACACAAAGTATGTAAACACAGTATTTAAACAATTCAGGATGTCAAAGTAGGTGACCAATGGTTTAGCGGCCATTCACAAAGAACACTTTCTGCATTCTACTGCGCTGCTTTCCTTTCTTTTTCAACGTAAATTTGCGCTAGATGAATACCGTTGATGCTGTGATCGTGTCTCAGCGTCTGGGCATGAGCACTGAGCTTTTTGAACGCCGTGAGAAATTCAACGGCGTTCGAGACTCCACTGCCTCGTGTTTTTAAACACACAAAAGCGTCCACTGTGTATTAAACGGCAACATAACATATTCACTGAAAATGACGCATTTGCCTTTAATTTCCCCAGATGTCTCACAGAATGCATATTATAAGATATTCAACTACGCACTGAATAATTAAAAAATGCTTTGCTATTTTAATATATGTAAATAAACGAAACATGCATCAAAGCTGCTTCATTTCAGCACCACAAGTAGCATCATAAACTCATTTGACTTCCTGCCAAATTATTACCCACCTCGTTGAAATCGCTACCTGATTGCCTAATCCTAACGCCTCCCCCACACCTAACCCTAAACCTACCAATACTAGGGGGGTAATAATCTGGAGGGGGTCTGAATTCAGGACTACTCCAGTAGGGCTGCACGATTAATCGAAATTAAATCGGCAAAGGCGATAAATCGCGATTAGGCAGAGGCTGCGATTGTCATGCGTATCTTTCAGTGAAGCATGGTTCTGTGATCAGCAGTAAATCTCCATCCGAAGGCCAGAGGGCGCTCTCGCACTGAAACTCCAAATACGCCTCGCAGAAGAAACCCAGAACATGCCTATCGCTGCAGCTGAATAAACAGAAGATTCAACTGCTTTCATTGATTCAACGTGACTAATAAACACACGACTACGGCAATATACGGTTTATCAGAGTTCGTCTTATAATTTTTATTATAATAAAGTATATAATAATGCAATGCTAATCGACATTTATCACTGCTTAAATACTATGAAATATGTTGCGTGCCTTATTCTGTGTAAGAAGTCACATCATCTCACAGAAGGATTTATTTTCAAACACTCGACTGACTTTATGAAGCGAGTTTGGAGTAAAAACGTTATTAAATGTGCTATTTTCACGTGCTTTCAGATGAAGCAGTGTTTACTACACAGAGCTGTAGTTCACTGAGAAGCTACGCAAACAGCTTTCATAATCACAGAACGATTTCATAATCGCGCGATTAAATCGTCTGCGATTATGAACGCGATTTTGCGTAGCTTGTCAGTGAACTACGGCTCTGTGTAGTAAACGCTGCTCCATCTGAAAGCACGTGCTGGAGATTTACTACTAATCACAGAACCGGCTTTACTGACGCATGACAATAGCATTCAATTAATCGTGCAGCCCTATACACCAGTCTCCAAACTCACGGTGCGTTTCCACTACAGCGTCAAATCTGCGCTCAGTGCCGCTGGCAACACTAAAGTATATAATAATGCAATGCTAATCGACATTTATCACTGCTTAAATACTATGAAATATGTTGCGTGCCTTATTCTGTGTAAGAAGTCACATCATCTCACAGAAGGATTTATTTTCAAACACTCGACTGACTTTATGAAGCGAGTTTGGAGTAAAAACGTTATTAAATGTGCTATTTTCACGTGCTTTCAGATGAAGCAGTGTTTACTACACAGAGCTGTAGTTCACTGAGAAGCTACGCAAACAGCTTTCATAATCACAGAACGATTTCATAATCGCGCGATTAAATCGTCTGCGATTATGAACGCGATTTTGCGTAGCTTGTCAGTGAACTACGGCTCTGTGTAGTAAACGCTGCTCCATCTGAAAGCACGTGCTGGAGATTTACTACTAATCACAGAACCGGCTTTACTGACGCATGACAATAGCATTCAATTAATCGTGCAGCCCTATACACCAGTCTCCAAACTCACGGTGCGTTTCCACTACAGCGTCAAATCTGCGCTCAGTGCCGCTGGCAACACTACAACGCCACTGCTTTGGGGCATGTCAAATTTAGGGCAGAGCACGTCTCTGAAAACAGCGTTTACACCCTGTTTGCGTTTCATCTTCTTCTTTTAATGGCGGTTATAATGAAAGCATGCAAAGTGCATTTATTTTTGCATATGACTTTTTCAACAACAAGTGATTTCAGCTCAGTAATCCACCAGTTCAGCAAACACTTGGAAACATGTCAAAATCTTGCCTTGCCTACTTTTCACAGCGATTGGTTGTCGCCCGGCGTTTGTCGCTCGATATTTGCATAAAGTTGAGAAATGCCCAAACTTTTTGATGCTCTCAATGCTTTCTCCGAGCCGCTTTCAATCCCATAATGCACCGCACGAGCATTTAAGATCAACTTCTATAGGAATGGATTGAAAACACTCACTCCGCTGCGCTTGATAGTGGAAATGCACCGTAACGGTATTGAGCCATAAATTGACATGTTAGGAGTGGGACACTCATAGTATGAACACAGTAGTTACCATTTAATGAAGTATGGTTTCCCATACTTTGGTTCATTTAATGGTTTAGTGGCCGTTCACAAAGAACGCTTTTCCCATTCTACTACGCTGCTCTTCCATTGTTTTTCTATGCAAATATGCGCTAGATAAAACTTTTCTATGTAAATATGCGCTAGATAAAATTTGCTGATGCTGAGCTGCCATTTCAGCGCTGCATTTCTTGAACACACAAGTTCAACATTTAAAAACACGTCTTGAGAATCCAGTGCCATGCTTCTCGCATTTTTAAACCAGTGTTTTAAATGCACAAGCGCATTCTCTGTACTTCCACCGCACGAGCATTTAAGATCAACTTCTATAGGAATGGATTGAAAACACTCACTCCGCTGCGCTTGATAGTGGAAATGCACCGTAACGGTATTGAGCCATAAATTGACATGTTAGGAGTGGGACACTCATAGTATGAACACAGTAGTTACCATTTAATGAAGTATGGTTTCCCATACTTTGGTTCATTTAACGGTTTAGTGGCCGTTCACAAAGAACGCTTTTCCCATTCTACTACGCTGCTCTTCCATTGTTTTTCTATGCAAATATGCGCTAGATAAAACTTTTCTATGTAAATATGCGCTAGATAAAATTTGCTGATGCTGAGCTGCCATTTCAGCGCTGCATTTCTTGAACACACAAGTTCAACATTTAAAAACGCGTCTTGAGAATCCAGTGCCATGCTTCTCGCATTTTTAAACCAGTGTTTTAAATGCACAAGCGCATTCTCTGTACTTTGAGAACGGTATTCACAGAAAAATTACGCACTTAACCTTTAAATTCACTAGATGTCTCACAGAACACATAGGCTAAGCTACTCATCTGCACGTTAAACCATAAATCCTCAGTTATTTTAATGCCTGTAAATAAATACCATGTAGCCTATGTATCTATTTGTTTAATTGATCACGCTAATACTCTCAAATGAGCACCAGTTTAAAGAGTAAAGAGAGTGTTTTTCGTCAGCAGAGCCACAGCTTTCAAAGCATTCAGTGATTTGCGTATTCAGTAGCACTAAGATGATTCACGCTTGTTGAAGAAGCATTTGTAGACTGGTGATCATAGAGCACTCGTTCATTTTTTCTCATTAAATAAACTCATAGAAATAACTGGTGGAAACCGGTTGTGAGGGCCATTCGCTGGAATATGCTGTATGGCTCTCAGAGGAGTTTTATTCTTAAGAGCACGTGAGGCTCGCCCATATTTGCGATCTGTATGTGCGAATGCCATTGTAAAAGTCTCTTATAAAGAAAGTTTCCAAAAGGGGGTTTTTGCAACAACGCCATAGAAGAACCATTTTCTGTTCCACAAAAAAAATGTTTCAGTGAAAATAATTTTTGTCTTAGCGTGAAGAACATTTTAATCATCTAAAGAACATTTTTACCATTATAAAGAACCTTTTGTGGAATGGAAAGTTTATTTTAATGCCTGTAAATAAATACCATGTAGCCTATGTATCTATTTGTTTAATTGATCACGCTAATACTCTCAAATGAGCACCAGTTTAAAGAGTAAAGAGAGTGTTTTTCGTCAGCAGAGCCACAGCTTTCAAAGCATTCAGTGATTTGCGTATTCAGTAGCACTAAGATGATTCACGCTTGTTGAAGAAGCATTTGTAGACTGGTGATCATAGAGCACTCGTTCATTTTTTCTCATTAAATAAACTCATAGAAATAACTGGTGGAAACCGGTTGTGAGGGCCATTCGCTGGAATATGCTGTATGGCTCTCAGAGGAGTTTTATTCTTAAGAGCACGTGAGGCTCGCCCATATTTGCGATCTGTATGTGCGAATGCCATTGTAAAAGTCTCTTATAAAGAAAGTTTCCAAAAGGGGGTTTTTGCAACAATGCCATAGAAGAACCATTTTCTGTTCCACAAAAAAATGTTTCAGTGAAAATAATTTTTGTCTTAGCGTGAAGAACATTTTAATCATCTAAAGAACATTTTTACCATTATAAAGAACCTTTTGTGGAATGGAAAGATTCCATGGATGTTCATGTTTCTTCATGGAACCAAACCATTTTTAAGACAGTTTTTATTAAATCATTTTATTTAGTGAAGCGGAGCCCTCATAGAAAGAATGTGTGTATTATTTGGTTACTAAATAGTGTATTTGCAATCCGTGCGTTTCACTTAGCAAGATAAATTTTGGGTAGTGAATTCATCAAACGCACCATCCAATGGAGTATACTCTAGACAAAAACTGAAACCCAGTATAATTAATTACTGAGATTGAAATGAAATTAATTACTGAGATTGAAAGAATTAATGAGAATGAAATATTTGAAAATAACACATTTGTTGCGTATGCGTATGATAACTTATCGCAGTTATTATTTAGTTGTGGAAACAGCGGTGAAAATGCGTTTTATATATATATTAAAAAAACAACAACAACTGCAAGTTTGAGCACCCATCGGCAGAAACATGCGCCTATGATCGCTAGAAAAGACTTCTACTAATTTCTACAATAGTAGCTTATGCTATCCACCTTTTTCTTCAACGCAGAAGTAAGCCTATGGGCAAGACTTCCGGTTCATAAGCCGCTATAACGAGAAGAATAACAACGTGCAGTAAAAGGTAAAACTGTTTGCACTACAAACCAATGTGTTCACAATTAAGATAATACATTAAAATAATATGATTTTAATGATTTTCAATATGAAGCAACAAAACGAACGTTTTGTACAGCTAAAAATAGCTGGACGTGGATGAGACTAGAAGCCAAACCCATAGAAAAAGGTGGATAGCAGCTAATATAAGGTTTTCAATATGCCTAAAGGATTTGAACAGTTAAGGCACACTTAAAAAATGGGAAAGGAAATATTGTAGGTCAAAGGTGTTTGGCTGACAAAAAACATTTGGGAATCACTGCAATAAGTCACTTAAGTCTTCATCAACAGGTTCAGCTGTTTTGGGTCAGAACCTCGAGCGATGGGACGTACCGTCTGAGGACGGCGTTATGTTAGTGATACGGAGGTGAGGATTGGGGATGGGGGCTGGACACACGTCTTTCCCGAGCTCTGGCATCTCCGGCAGTGTGAACACGATCTCATATCGGTGCTGTGTTTTCAGGAAGCCCACCTGAGGAGATGGAGAGCAGCAGAGAGGTTATGATTGGGTGTCAGCAGGTTTATGATGATATGAGATTTATGAGACACCAGAATTATGAGTCAGTCTGTTGTTTGCACTTGATCAGAAAGATCATAGCGATAAATTATGTTAATGAAATCTTAGCAGATTGATGAAATCATTGTATGGATTACAGTTGACTTATTTATGAATCCCTAGTTGACTTTCATTTATGAATCATAGTTGATTCCTTCATTGATGACATCATAGTTGATAGCTGATATCATTAACGAAATCAGCCTTGATGAACCAATGATGAAATCATAGTCAACTTAATTCAATGAATTTAGAGCCAAACAATAATTTATACAATCATAGTTGGCTTTACCATAGTTGGGTTGGCATAACCCAATAAAGGCTGGCATTTGAAATAATAAAAATCTTTTTTTTTTTTTTAATGGATCAGTTGAATCTATCCAGATGCCCAAATAGAGAAAAACTATGCAATTCCATGTAGATGCTGATATTTAGATGATCAAAAAATAAGATGAAATCCTGATAGCTTGTAATGCAATTCAATGAGATCTTGATTTTAGGAGCATGAAATACATTGCAAATCTATTCTATAATCCATTATATGATCCACTGATGTAACTGGATGAAACTGTTTCACAGCCCTAAAAAAATCTGTCAGATTTAATGTTCATTACTTAAAGATCTTACTAACCAAGGAAGGAAATCAGGATGATATTTTGAAATAAAAACAAAAGGAACCGGAAAAGTGGGAAGGACAGTGACAGAGCTCATGCCAGGAAATGTCAAACTGCATCTGGGTCTCAGTGAAGGATGACAGAATCAAATAACGTCTTATCTGACCAGAGCCCTCATCAAAAACGCTATAATCAAACAGAACAGACACAGACCAGAGGTACAGGTGTTTATATACTGCTCGACGGCGCTGTAGCTGGTCTCCATGGCAACAAGGGGCACTAACAGGGCAGTTTGAGAGAGACATCTGCAATGAAAAGAGTCAGAGAATATGACACCCGCTGCAGAGTGAATGCAAGCATGATTGTGTCTCTTGTCTCTTAGATATTAGCGAGTAGGAGGATCGCAAACACTGAGTCTCTGTGCCATCAAATATGTTCAAAAAGTCACTGTTCTCAAAACAACAAGAAGCAACTTGTGAGAGTGGAGCTTCAGCAAACTATTAAAAACATGTTAAGTCGATATGATATCAAAATAGATCCTGTTTACTTTCATAATACACATACATTTTTTAATGAAAAAACAAACACAGACTGATTCATAACAATAACATTCTAGTAAACAAAAGTTTTAAAAAAAAATATACGAAACAAATATACTAAATTAAAAAAAAGAAAAAAATAGCTAAGTACATACATTTAACTTTAAAATTATTTAGAAGATTTATATTTGAAAGCTTAAAGCATAATGCTTAGATTATGCAATGTGCTAAAATTTAATTAAATTTATATATTTAAAAAAACAATTATTTCCGTCTATGCCTGCATCCATCCATCATCATTCCATCCATCCATCTATTATTCATTATTTTATCCATCCATCCATCCTTTGTTCGATCCATCGCGTCATAATCCATCCATCCATTGTTCTATGCATCCATTGTTCTATACATTGTTCCATTTATCCATCATTCTATCCATCCATTGTTTGTTCTATACATCATTCTATCTATCATCCATCCATCCATCATTCTGTCCATCCATTGTTCTTTCTATCATCCATCCATCCAGCCATCATTCTATCCATCCATTCTTCGATCTATTCATCATTCCATCATCCATCATTTGATCCAACCATCCAACATTCTATCCATCATCCATTCATTCATCCATCTATTATTCTATCCATTATTCATTATTTTATCCATCCATCCATCCTTTGTTCGATCCATCCATCCATCATTCCATAATCCATCCATCCCTTGTTCTATGCATCCATTGTTCTATACATTGTTCCATCCATCCATCATTCTATCCATCCATTGTTTGTTCTATCCATCATTCTATCTATCATCCATCCATCATTCTGTCCATCCATTATTCTTTCTATCATCCATCCATCCAGCCATCATTCTATCCATCCATTCTTTGATCTACATCATTCCATCATCCATCGTTTGATCCATCCATCCAACATTCTATCCATCATCCATTCATTCATCCATCCATCATTCCATCCATCCTTTGTTCTATCATCATTCTATACATTCATCCATCCATCGTTTGTTCTATGCATCCATTGTTTTATACATCATTCTATCTATCATCCATCCATCCTTCATTCCATCCATCCAGCCAGCCATCAATTGTTTGTTCATCACATCCATCCGTCTTTCGTTCATTCCATCCATCCATCCATCGTTTGCTCTATCCATCCATCCATCGTTCATTCTATGCATTGTTCCATCCATCACTCATCCCATCTAGCTATCGTTTGTTCTATCCATCCATCCATACATCCATTGTTCATTCTATCCATTGTTCCAGCCATCCATCCTTCCATCTATGCAAGGTGTTCTAAAAAAAAACTAAGCCTGATCACTTAGAAAAGTAACATCTGCACTTCTCTTGAGCAAGCAAGCAGCATGATTTGAGATATCATTCAGCTTCACACATTACAAAATGAGTTGCACAGCTTAAAAGTTAGGGGTATTTGTTTAAATAGCTTGCCTTAGCGAGACCCACTAATAAAAAGTTTGATGGCAATGCATTGCACCAAAAAAAAATTGAAAACAATTAATCATTGTTAAAAAAAACTGTATTGTCAAAGCTGTGGTCTAGCGGTCAGCACACATGCTCTGACATATTGACCTGTGCTGCTCATATGTAGGCGATCGATGCAGTTCAAATCTGGCTTGTGTCATTTCCTGATCCTGTTTTTCCTCTTGAAATCCCAGATACAGCTGAAACGGCTCCTGGCATGAGTTCTGTCACTGTCTTTTTATATAATAACAAGGCTAGAAGTCAAGTAGCACATGCTGACTAAAGGAAAGAAGCTGAAGCTTTGATGTGAGCTGAGAAATAAAATCAATGTTCTTCCTGTAATATGAACTCATATTCGTGACTGAAGACCTTCAAATGAAGCTAATGAACGAACCCAGCCATTTAATTCTCTCTCACCTTAACCAGGAAGTTCCCGTTTGATTCGGGTATCACCATGACGACGGAGTCGTGCAGTTTCTCGTCAAAATGCACATGAGAGTGAGCGGTGGCGGCCGCAGCGGGTTCCTCAGCGAAGCGAACGCCCCCCGTCTTAGACACTGCTGCAGGAGGAACAAAAGCAAAGCGCTTACAGCTGTGCTAATTACACACACACTGCAGGTTTACAGACATCCAGATTGTGAGTCTCTGAATGATAATGTTCTGCAAGAAGCTTTTAAAGTTGAAATTATTCAAATCAAGCTTGCCATCTGACACCTGAAAGACCTTCAGTCTAATATCAGAGATATTTTAATTTCTTCACTCAAAGAAAGTTAAAGCAAAAGTGGGCTTACAATAGTCAGGTTGTGCATTGAATTTACCAGCTTCAATTTAAAAAGGCATAAACTGCATTTAAGTAGACGAATACAAAACCAGATCAGTTTAAAACACTTGGATCAGTAGGAATAAAGTTGATGTGTACAATAACCTCAATGCCTTTAAGGTCTTACATGCTTTAAAAAAACAGTTTTAATTTAAAGGAATAGTTCAACCAAAATTGAAAATTTGCTGAAAATGTATTGACCCTCAGTCCATCAAAGATGAGTTTGTTTCTTGATTGGAACAGAGTTGTGGAGAAATGTAGAATTGCATCACTTGCTCAGCAATGGATGCTCTGCAGTGAATGGGTGCCGTCAGAATGAGAGTCCAAACAGCTGATAAAAACATCACAATAATCCACAAGTAACCCATACCAGTCCAATCCATCAGTTAATGACTTGTGAAGGGAAAAGCTGCATGTTTATAAGAAACAAATCCATCATTAAGCAGTTTTTAATTTCAATCTGATGCTTCCCGCTAAAATATGAGTCCTCTATCTAAAATATTGCTTCCTCCAGTGAAAAAGTAATCTGGTTTGAATCAGGAGAGAAATCGCTCACAGATTTCTGCTCGTTCTAAATCAGATAAAGGAGCACAGTAAAGATTACATTCATATGAATGCATTGAGAGCGATTGCGTGTATGAATTAATTCTACCTGGCAGCGTCTCTCTACTAGTAGTGCTGTGTTCAAAATATCGATACGACGATGTATCGTCACAGAGATTTGACGATACGAGTATCGATACAGCTGGCCCTGTATCGATATTGTGGCACGTGTGCAGCAGTGGACCACGCTTAATTTGTTTAAAATGTTACAACGTTTAAAATTGAGTAGAAAAGTGCAAGGTTTCTAAAAAAAAGAATGAATAGAGCATACATAGGCTACAACAAGGTTTAATCTGGCCACAGAGGAACACAACTGGGTTGCCTAATAAAAAGAGACGTAATCCCCGAAACAGAGCTTCCCACTTGCGCAATACAGAAATATCTGCTAAGTGTGCTACTTATCTTTGTCAACCTGGCAACCCTGTGCTCACGCTCTCTCTCCGCTGTGGATAAACACGCTTGCTTTCTGAAAACACCGCTTAGCTTGCAGTTTAGCGATCTCCACTTCAATAATCTATTCTCAGAAAAGTGTAATTCATCAACTGTTCATTTACCACACACACAGAGAGAGAGGCTGTGTATGTATGAATTACCACCGTTTTGCCGCGTCTCTCTATTAACAGTGAAGCTGTGGCTTTAATTACTTTAGAGACAATGACGCTACCAGCTCCTTGTTGAGAAAGATAATGTAGCTCTTGAGCGATTAAGCTATTTAGTTGATAAAACTGCGGGGCGGCGCTAAAAAGTTTGTTCCTGAATGTCTGAGTGCGGCCGCAACGTGATCGGTGTGTGTGACTGCACTTAACATCAAACTGCTTCTGTTTCACACAAATGCAAGTTCGGCTAGAGTCACTTTGAACTCGTGCATCATCGGAAGCGGAGCTGCGCGGAAAGTTACAAAAAATGTTGTGCACACCGCCATTTTTCAGTCAGAACTCATTGCACACTGCGTGATTGTGAATCACCGACAGCTCCAGATATTTAGCATGCCAAATATTTCTCGGGCGTCGGCGATTCCCCCAGATCACGTCTTTGATAATTCACACTGTGTGATTGTCACTCGCATGAACGAGCACCGATTTGCCTCCGATTTCGGGCATTTGTTGGCAATTTCACAAAACCTGTCGGCGAGTGAAAAATCGGGCTAAAATCGTGCAGTGTGAACTCGGCATAAGGGAACTTGCGGACGCCTCGAGTATAAATCAGCCTTGAGCGTGTGTGCGTTAGATAAAGTGAAGACAGCGCGTTAGTTTAGAACTCTTCTAATTATTTTTTTTTATTTTTAGTGTTAATTTGTGCAATGATAACCTACCAGCAATGTAAATTTCTTTTTTAGATATATTAGAATGAGTACATTATTTATGGGCTTAAAAACAAGATGCAAACAATCAGAATATTGTACCTGGTGGGGAGTGCACAATGTAAACATGAAACATATGCCATTACCTATATTGTACTGTGGTACAGTTTTGGAGGCCCTTCATAATGCAGAGGTCAGCTGCTGCTCTGCCAGTAGTTAGAAATGGCACTATAGTAAACAGTGTTTAATAAACAGCTGTTTTACTAAATTCTGCTTTGGTGAAATTCAGTGCAGTCATGTATCGTGATATGTATCGTATCGTGGCCTCTGTATCGTGATACGTATCGTATCGTGACTTTGCTGGTGATACACAGCCCTATCTACTAGTAGTGAAGCTGTGAGATTTAGTTAAGAAATATATGCTTGAACTTTTCAGTTTCTAAGCTATTTTATTGAGAAATCACAGAACAGTGTTGACAATACATTTCCGCGCTGAATGATTCTGTGCGCGCGTGATGTGCGCGTGATGTACGAGCTACTGTCTGTAGCCTATGTGCGTTACAGTGCAGCAGCGCATTAGATTAGAATGGCGATTAACTTACCTGTACAATAAGCTGTTTAAAACGTGCATTCTCCTGTTCAATTTCGAGCATCCAGTAATATAATCACACATGTCTTTTGGAGCGCTTTCAGATTATGCATTTATTCGTCATTTTAACTGTTTGGAAACGGAGCGTAAATGTGGAAGTCCTTCAAAGATTTCTTATCCTGTTGCGCCCTCTATAGGACCAGCGACGCCAAGCTTAAAGCGTCATGGCAGAGCATTGAAGTCGACTAGTCGATTAGTCGTTGCAACCCCTAGAGACAACAGGGGATGGACTTTTTCACTGGAGGAAGTGTTATTATGGATTATAGACTCGTATTTAAGCCGAAAGCGATGGTTTAAAGTTGAAAATGTCTTGATGTATTTGTTTCTTACAAACAGATATTTGTATCAGCTGTTTGGACTCATTCTGACGGCACCCATTCACTGCAGAGCATCCATTACTGAGCAAGTGATGTAATGCTACATTTCTCCAAATCTGTTCCAATGATGAAACAAAATCCTCTTGGGTGGCCCGAGCAATTTTTCAGCAAATTTAAATTTTTTTGGTTGAACTGTTCCTTTAAGCTTTGGATCAAACAAGCACCTAAAAAGATAATAAAAAAATATGCAGACAACAGGATATGACCTTATGACTCAAGTATGCACAAATGAATGCTTGGCTAATGCAGAGTATGTTTTGGGCCTAACAAAACTGATCTGGCTTTTTATTTTTAGTCTTTCTTTCCCACAGGATTTATTAGGGACTGAAAAACTGGTTTCAGGTTCACTTGATGTGGTTTTAGGGGAGGTTTATGTAAGATGCATTCAAAAAGAGCTAGATAGAGCACAACAAAATGGAACAAGAATATAGGAGCCTTTTAAAACTGTAATTATTTTACAGATTTTACAGCTTTTACTGTGCACGCTGTCTAACACCTTCAGCACATTCAAAGTGCTAATTAAAGCACCAGAACTAAAAATATCAAAACTAAAAATAAAGAAAGAAAATCTCTTGCAATGTTCTTCCAGGCTCTTCTCTTTAACAGTCTGATCTCTTCTGCTCACCAAGGCTGCATTTATTTGATGAAAAACAGAGTAATATTGTGAAATATTATTACAATTTCAAATAACTGTTTCCTTTGTGAATATATTGTAAAATGTAATTTATTTCTGTGATCAAAGCTGAATTTTCAGCATCATTACTCATCATTCAGTGTCACATGATCCTTCAGAAATCATTCTGATTTGCTGCTCAAGAAACATTTCTGATTATTATAAATGCTGAAAAACAGTTGTGCTGCTTCATATTTTTGTGAAAACCTTGATACCTTTTTAATGAATAGAAAGTTCAAACAGTTCGAACAACATTTATTTGAAATAGAAATATTCTATTGCATGTCTTTGCTGTTACATTTAATCAATTTAATTCTGAATCTTACTGACCCCAAACGTTTTAACAGAATCTAAACGCTCTGGAATGAACATCAGCTGTGGAGATTTGTCCTTCATTTTCACTCTAAAATCCTCCATGTCTGATCAAAGCCTCTGCAAAAAACCCTGCTTTTATTGCATTTTGGAGATAAGATGTCGCAATTAATTTCCCTTTTTGTGTGAACTTTTTCTTCTACTTTAAATCTAAATTAAATGAGCACTTAAAGATTTTTACATTTTCTGAAGAAAACGTTCTTGTTGATCACTCATGCTAACCTTGTTAATACAAGTGGAGGGTTTTTGAGCTCTCTTCAAACTCAAAAACTCATTTCCATGATATTCTAATATCTGGATATGACTCGAATAGTAAATGTAACAGCTTTCCAAAAAGCCACATGATTGCACAACTGGTGCAGGATATGTGTTGAGAGTTTATTCAGATCACTAAACCAAAATATGAGCAGCAATAATATCGGCCAATGGCAGCCACAATAAGATTGTGATATTACAGACAATAGTTATAATGTCTTATCACTCACGCACTGTGTGTGTCAAATGAAGTCTGCTAATCCAGAGCGCAGCGTCGGCCCTGGGGACCCATCGCTTGAAATGAGCGGCCCCTGACAGACCGACAAACTGCAGATTACATCAGGGACTCTTTAGATCCCTGCGCTACGAATAAAAATAAATGACATTTGAAATTCAGAGAACATCGTGTGAAAAGAACAGGAGTTATAAAAACAAATAACAGATGAGAGTATTGCCAAGATATTTCAATGTTTATGGTCAATAAACATTGCATTTATTCATTTAGCAGATGCTTTAATCTAAAGCGTCCTACAAATGAAGAGCATTACGTTATATAAAACCCAACTATATTTGCATTGTGCAATGCCAAGTGTAAATCATAAACTAGATTAGCACATGCAATTTTAGGTATTTGAATATATTTTACAAATATGAGAGTGCTATGAGTCTGGAGGGTCAGTGGTGACCCTGTTGGCCTGCAGGGCTTGTGGCTACATTACACATAATGTAAGCTGGGATGGGACGGCATTTGTAGCAGGAATGTCTACATTATTGGCCTCATTACAGAGGTTATGGGACTCCAACTGTTCAGCCAATGTAGAGCACTATAAACACTCTCACGCGTGACAGATAGACCTGCCAACCAGCGTCTCACGGTCCGGATGACCAACACAGAGGCATCTGTACACTGTTAAAAGAGATCTAGAATTAAGATGGATACACGTGTAGTAGTCTACATTTTATGACCTATGAGTACAACATTGAACAGATTATTTATCACCACACCAGCAGGGCCTGAAGAGTTTATGTATTTATGTCCATGACTTTCGGGTCTTTATGACACTCGCCTGAGCCCCAAACGCCTCGAAGAAATCACAAGAACACAGACGTTTCACTAGTGATTATCCTGATATGCAATGTCAAAACAACATAATAAATAATAAGAAATATTGTAGTACATGTTTTACCAGTGCCAGATTATTTGGCAAAAAGCATGAAATAATAATAATAAACTTTCTTTTTAAAGCAGTGTGCTTACAGAGAAAACATGAATATAAAACAGATCAAAAAAAGAAATAATAATAATAATAATAATAAAGGCTACAGCATCCGTGCAACTCCACATAAGCCAATAGGCTAGAAAAACAGATGGAATTATTTTATTATTATTATTATTGCTATTATTATTATTATTAATAACGAATAATAAACAGCTTTATTTTTAAAGCAAGCTTCTAAAGCAAACAAATTGCTTAAACAGAAAAGAAGAATATAAAAACTGCAAGAAATAATAAAAATAAAATAAAATAAAACAAAACAGATCAATTTTTGCCATTGAGATGGCTGGGGAAAATGGTCCAATTGTACTTATATAGCCCTAAATTAAATATAGAATATTAAAAACAGCATATACAAACATACATATCAAAATATTATGAAAATAAAAGTTATCCTGAAAAAATAAAAGAATAATATAAGATCTTCATTTAAGATCTATTTTGTGAGAATCTGCGTTTCTCTAACATCAGAGTGATCCAAAGTATTGGAGTAAATGGAGTCATTAATATTTTCCACATTCCTCTTTGAGCTGAATCACATCTGAACCCAAAGCTGTTCTTTGTGGTGTTGTTCTTTGAAAGCAATCAGAAACTCTGCAGTCTGGCTGGGACCAGAGATGGACGGGCTCTCTATTAAACGAATGCCTGGCGGTGCTGTAGAGGCGCCGCATTTTATGAACCTCATCTAAAACTTCACACAGTCACCATGGCAACGACGAGAAATCTGGCCCCTGAGAACCGGCCTATGGAAAGGAGCATTTCCAAAAAGCTGTTCTGGGGTCCGTTTCGTGCTTTAATATTCAACGACAAAGCCAGTGATGGGAAGATGCTTTGTGAATGTTGCACAGCTGTCTGAGCTGAAGAAACCGTAGATGTTCTGGAGCTGCTGCAACAATACGCAGCATGACAACAGACCCTCTGCCTTCATCCAAAATGAAACTTTATCGCATTCGTAAAACAAAAACAAAATGGAGGCCATCTTTGTGCCTCCAGACAATAACTAGAGTCGCGAGAGACAGATTGATTACCACAATAAATAGTGGAATGAAAGAAGACCGACTTTATCTTTCAGGAGTTTTTCCGACGGCTCTGGAAAGGCTTTTCAGACAGATGTGAAAACAGACACAAGATCTTGCACATTTCCTGATAATAAGAAACAGCCCACTTGTTTTGCAACTGCTGAGTCACCACCGACTGAGCAAGAATTCATTATTGTTTTAGCTTTATTAAAATCACTCGAAGTCTCATTCCTGAGAACGAAAAAGCAGCAGGTTGTCAAAACTCATGATAAGCAGATTGAAGTTCAAAGTCAGTGTGGTGGGATTATTCTTAAAAAAAACCCAGCTCTTTATGTTTTTGGGTTTTTTAAGTTTGGGGTTGGTACGATTTTTTGATGTTTTTAAAAGAAGTCCCTTCTGCTCACCAATGGTGCATTTATTTTATTTAAAAACAGTAACATTGAACATATACAAAATCCTTCCAATTTTTTCTGACCTAATGCTCAGAAAAAATATCTGATTATCATCAATGTTGAAAACAGCTGTGCTGCTTCATATTTTTGTGGAAACACTATAAATGTATAAATGTCTTTACTGTGACTTTTGATCAATTTAATGCATCCTTTCTGAATAAAAACAATAATTTCTATCCAAAAAAATCTTACTGACCTTCTTCTTTTAGGAAAGAAAAAGAATACATAAATAAATAAATAAAAAATAAATAAATAAAGAATAATATATATATATTTTTAAGATTTTCAGTAAGGTGTCAGCAAACACTCACAGTTCATATTTTGACAATTATGCATCCAAAACCCCTGCAAAATTAGAAACTTTAGTTGTGAAGGGTGGACGTACCTTTCTTAGCAGTGGCCATTCTGGCAACAATCAGGACCAAACTCAAGAAAAGCTTCAGTTACAGCCTCATCGTAGATATCATCTGACCTCAAAACAACCCTGAGAAACAGAAAGAGAACCACAAAAAAGGAATCAATAAACAGAAGCTGATAGTGTGAGAAATACAGAGAGAGCGGATGTAGAAAGAAAACAAGAATTATGTAGAGAGGGGGAATATCATACTCTTTTAACACAGTTAAGAGGCTTTCAATGTTTTTGTTAAATCTGCCACATGTTGCCATGACACACAGTGAACTGAGCCAGCTGTACTGACCATAATGCAACAGAGAATTATGAAGAAAAATCACTCTGAAAGAGAGCTGGATTAAAGCATCACGGAGTTCTTCTAAGGATTCTTCATCCATTTCAAAGTAATTTATTTCATCAAAGCTGAAGTCAAGACGAGACCCTCCCAGACCAATGCATTAAAAGTGAACTATGAGGGCAACTTTCAAAATAAATATATTTAGTCTTACACAAATGGTCAAAAATTGAACATTTTGCAATATGTCCCCTCAAAATAAATAAATCCTATCTTGTTCTCTTTCTCTCTATGCATACAAATGCAATAACATTTGTGTTATTCCAGATTAAATTTAAAAACATTTAATCATTTTTTTTGTGTGCACCAAATGCAACAACCCATTTTAGTACACCGAATAAAACAATTTTTGTGCACCAAATGCATCAACCCATTTTTTGTGCACCAAATAACTATTTTTGTGCATCAAATGCAATAACTATTTTTTGTGCATTAAATGTAATAGCTATTTTTCGTTCATCAAATGCAATAACTAATTGTTTGTGCACCAAATAACTTTTTTTGTGCATTAAATGCAATAGCTATTTTTCATGCATCAAATGCATCAACCCATTTTTGTGCACCTAACTAACTAACTGTTGTGCACCAAAAGCAATAACTATTTTTTGTGAACGAAAAGCAATAATTAATTTGTGTGCACCAAATGATGCAACTAATTTTTTGTGCTTCAGATGTTAGAACAAATGTTTTTATTTGTTTTATATATATATATATACACAATATAGGGAGATTTTCTATAATGCTGAAGATAACATGCCAGCAAGTGTTTGAGGTCATTATCAGCTTTAGTACACTGGAAATAGTGTCATAGACTATAAGCCGAGACCCATATCCCCACCAGGACACTGAGTAATGAGATCCACCAATACTAGACCCCACGAGACCAGACTAAGCCCAAGATTAGACCGCTCAGGGCTCAAATCCAGACCTCAAACACTGCCCAGATGAAGGCATCTCAGCAGATGGGATGTTATGCATTCAGTGGATTCGGATGTGCCTTAATGACTTCCAACTTTCAGGTACTGTTTGAACAGTCAGCATTTTTAAGTTTCAGTCTTTGTCTTTTTATCACTCTCCCTTCTTCCTCTGGATGGTGACTGTACTTTTATCTGATCTCATCTTTCTGCAACTCATTAGAGAAGCGCTGAGACTAGGACGAACGAGTATGGAGGGACTTTCTAATTCACTCGGGAGCTAAAACACACACATTCATACATGGAGCTCGCCCAATCACCAGCATTTACTGCAAGAGAGAGTCAGACCTGTCTAGTATTGCTCAGTAAAGCTCATCCACTCTACTGTCAAATCAAAAACATACTGCAAGAGCCAAGTGTCAGATGTTAAATGCACATCGGCGAGGAGAAAGCTTGATGACGTAATTAAGTGGCAGAGAGCTCAGAGATCATAATCACAGCAGACATTCAGCACTGCAACATAAAAGCAACTCATTCTTATTGCTATTCTGAATTCAACAGAACACTCAATAGTAGCCATTTGAGAGCGATTGTCCCTGCCTGTTTATCCCAATAATGAAAGATAAGGAAAGTGCAGAAGATATGCTGTACAACGGTCATAAGTGGTGCTTTTTAAAGTAGCATCACTATTTCTTTTACTCGTGCTAGGGTTAGTGATCTGAAGAGACCCTAATTGTAAGCATCAAGTCATGTGTATTGCTTTTCTAAGCAGTCAGACTTGCATACAGAAAGGCAAAACCATCATGGAGACTTGTGGAAGGGCTCTTTTAATTTGGCCCAGCAAATAACCACCTAGCAACCACTCAGAATACCCTAGCAACACCCTGGCTCTATAGCAGTGG